GTCAGAGAGTTGTGTACCAAGGTGTGTAAGCAGGGGCGAACGCAGACTTTTTAAACGGGGGTACAATCAAACTTTCAAAAAGTGACGAAAAAATTAAAGTAAGAGATATTTTATTACAATTGTTCTCTACGTCTTCTCATATTTTGATAACGTTCCGTAATTAAAGTGAGAAATAGAGAAAAATTGAATATAGTTTCGTAATTCAAATCAACAAAGAAATAGATATTTTATTACAACTGTTCTCTACATGCTATGCATTTCAAGAAATCTGTATTAGGATGCAGAATTCATATGTTGAAAAAATAACGTAATTATACATCAAATGCACAGCTCGTACAAGAGTCTCATCGTCAGAAAGTTTTGGGTTCACGAAACTAGAAGCTGGAATCTTCTTCTCGGGTTTATCTGAAGATGTTGGAAGACTATCCATAGTGTCAACTTCTTCAGCCTTTTGTGGCTGTGGTTTGTCTGCACAAGAAACTCCTCTGTTATCAGATCCTTCTATTTCTTCCGAATGAGTTTCTTCGTTTTTAAAAATGAATTTTGCTTGAAAATGAGTGATTGAAAAGTAGGAGAAGATTTCGAATTTACGCGTAAAATATTTTAGGATAGTTTGTTAAAACACCGAGTCAAACATTATAGTTGAATAAATAGCATTTTCTCAATATTTATAGGTGAAATGACGTCAATTTAAAAATACAATAAATAAAAATTATCAAATGTCTAAAATATCTCCATCATAGAAAAGACTCAAGCACCATTTCAATCCAATCAAATTCCCCAATTCATTTTCAATCGTATCAACGTACTCTCCGTCTCCCTGTGCTTGCTACCTAAAATCTTGGTATTCATTATATTCCTCACATATTTTCTCCAACGTTTTGAGCATTTGAACAAGAATTTTGATTTCTATATTATTTACATTGAAACCTCTATTATATTTGAAGGAAAAAAGAAAGGTTTTGTAAATCTCATGTACATTGGTCATTTTATTGTTGAATATAATATGAAATGATATTTTAATTGAATTTTTTCACAATTGGTATTTTTTTACTGTACAAACTATTGGACGATCTGTAGTACAGAACGACACTCCAGCCGTTGTACGTAGTGTATAACAACACTACCTTCGTTATCTTCCATGTAAAATGACGATACAAACATTATCTGTTATATTCTGTCTGTTCTTGATAATACAACGTGGTTAATTTGATAATTTAAATATGATAACTATTTTCATATCTGTAGTAGGTGTTTGAAAATTGGGCATAACCGTAACACTTGTACAAATCTTGTACCATTTAGCGAGAGATATGACCGATAAAGACAATACGGTATATATGCAGCTTTTGTAGTGTTACTATGTACTCATTTTGTAATATTGAAAAATGATGGTGGTGTTATGTTATGATGTATTACTTTTATCATTTTAAAATAGCAAACTATTTATAATGTTTGGAACGATTGATTTTGTCATTGTCTTAGATTCGATGAAACCAAAACGACAGTTATACTGTATTTTTGTTATAATAAAACACAACGGGTGTTGTAACGGCACTTGTGATATTCTATTTTTTCATGTTGATTAAGTAATGACCATATCTGTCGAATGTTGTAAACGATATGTCCATCCTGCAACTTAAATGAGTTTATCTTATCGGTTATAAGATCGTAACTGCTTATATTCTTGTTTATTGACAGAACGT